TCTCTCTCTCTCTCTCTCTCTCTCTCTCTCTCTCTCTCTCTCTCGCCGTTGTCTCGTCAGCACAGCAGGTAGTAGGTACGTGATAACCAATCTTGTCTCTCTCTCTCTCTCTCTCTCTCTCTCTCTCTCTCTCTCTCTCTCTCTCGTTCGAACTCTATCTCTCTCTCTCGTTCGAACTCTCTCTCTCTCTCCCTCTCTCTCTCCCTCTCTCTCTCTCTCTTCGAGCGTCGGAAACTTCGGCTATGCCAAAAGAAGACTCAGAAGAAGAATAAGAAGGGGGGAAGAAGAAGAAGAAGAAGAAGAAGAAGAAGAAGAAGAAATGGAAGAAGAAGAAGAAGAAGAAAGTCTAAGATAGATAAAACCACTTACCTTCACTGGTGGACGACGGGGCGGGGCATGCCATGCCAGACGTGACAAGGGGCGCAGTCAGTAGGCGGGTGCTTTCCCGCACTCGTCACTGCGACGAAGTGTCGAAGTGACGAGGAAGGCTTCCTCCACGGCTGTGGGAGCCGACGCTGGCCAGTCCAACTTCGGGTGGTTTCCCGCCCGAATCTTGAAAAACTGGCAGCCTATCTGGGCCGCCGATCTCATCAGATCGACGGCCCAGATAGGCCGCCAGTTTTTCAAGATTCTGGCGGCCACACTGGACCCGGTTTTTTTTTTGGGGGGGCAGGGAAGCCTCCACGACCCGCAGGGAGGCCTCCCAGCCCCCGAAAAAATTCAAGATCCGCCGCTACCCGTCGGCGCGATTTTCCACCGGGGGGGAACCGGCGAGGTCCACCGGCCGGTGCCACCGGTCCGGTTCCGGTGGGGGAAGGGCCCCCCGGTAGGACCGGAAATTCAGCCCTGGTTTGAATAACGAATACACGCTAATCATTCATTTCTGATTCAACATCTGTGTTTGACAACGATTCAATGATCAGGATGGGCGATTGAGAGCTATTCAACAATTAGAAATTGTGCAGTCGACAATGACCAGAACAAGTCGCATGTCTGAAGACTCAGTGTTTCTCTCAGAGACCTCTGCCTTTCCATCTGTTTTTGTTGAGATCTATGTGACCGATTGAACTTCAATCCACAACGAATTCACATGTTCCCATTCACGCATGCCATTGCAGAGTAGACTCGAAGGAGGCAAATCCGCACAAAACCAGAGAGAAGATATGCACAGCAGAAGCGCAAAATACACACAGAATCAGTGCTGGTCCCCGGGCCGCCCGGCGGCCTGGCCGTCGCCCGGGGAGGGGGCCGGGCCGTCTGGCCGGTTGTCGCGCCCGGTTGGCCACCGGGCGCCCCCAGCGCATCACTGTAGGTTAGTTTTTTTTTTTTTTTTTACGGCG